AATGGGAAAAAAAATAAAAATCAATGTCTTGAGAAGGGAATGAGAATTGGAAAATGAAGAAAGCTGATTATTTTAAAAATGCCTATTTATTTGTGGAATTTGAAAGAACAAAAGAACACGTCTGTTTCTGAAGACATTTATAAACAAAAGGTTTCTTGAGCACAGCTTATTTACTATACCTGAATGTTGTGTCTCTATAGAAATGGCACACCACGTTTTTACTTTCTTTGACTTCTTGGAAAAAGTCTCTCTCACTTGGGATTTCTCTGTATTCTCCGTGTCCTTTTGAAAGCCACTCCTTTTGGAAAACGTAAGAGGAAATAATTAGTATGGATTGTGTTAGTCCTGTACCTACATGCAAAACGTACAGCTTTTAAGAAAAAATCAAAGATGGGAGCTGCAGTGGAAACCCATTTCATAGAAGGAGAAACAAATTAATTCTCTCCTTCAGATCTGTCTTGAAAATACACAAATGCCACCAGGTCAGACAATACTTCTCGGTTGCCTCCTTCTCAGCAAGAGATAGGTGGTTCAGCAGGGAGACTGTCTTACCTATTTGGCAATACAAATCTTGCAGAGCTGCATAAATTTCTGGAGTGCAGCCTTTCAGTAAGACTAGACGAGTTCAAAGAAAACCAATGACAGGAAACTCTCAGCAACTGAAAACTGCTAATCGACAGCTTGGGCTACTGTCTCTAAAACGTTTTTGTACACTCACAGAACTCTTGTCCAGAACTGATTCAAGTCATTACATGTTGTAAAACAGATTTCTTCCATTTTTTAACTCTCTATGAAAAAAAAAAAAAATAATGGAGAAGAAAGCCTGCTAACTCTCCTGCAGCAAATTACATTTATTTGTCACAAACCAGATACTGAAGGTATGAGCCTGGCTTCCAGAGAACCATTCAGGAAACATGCATATCGTTAATCAGAAAATGTACAGAAAAACAAAATTTCACAACCAGGCAACTTCACCTGTCTGATTAGGTGTGCAAACAGAGTATAGAAAAAGCTAATGCACTTGAAAAAGAAACAAACAACGAGCTTCAACAATACTGAAAGTTAATAACTAAAACAACTACAGACTAAGCTGAATGATTAGAAGTAGTGCAGTATGACAAAACTTGACAAAAAACTTTCAGTTTCTAGTGGGGGGTGGGGAATAAGTACAGATAAATCACTGTTCTTGATCTTGCAGTTCTGTCTTGGCAGAGTGGTGGGAAAGAACATCCAAGCAAACCAAAAATATCCTTTAAGTTATATTAGCATAGAACAAACTCTCTTGGACGTTGTACAGAGGTATGACCAAATGAGGAAGTCATCATGATGCAAATAAAAAAAATTACTTATTCGTCAACAGTGGATATGCATTACTTCCCCTTTGCTTTCAGACCAGTGTGGCAGCACACACCTTTTACAGGGTAGTATGCTACTTCAAATTTGTATTTGAAAATGCATGAGAACAGTGACTTAAGATCAACTGACATAACCAAGTTCTTGCATGAGAACTACCACATGTTCACATCCAAGCGTTATGACTTCTGAAAAAGGAATACACTAGAATAAACTGAACTTTTGAAGACAAGCAAATAGTACGCTATTTTCTCTACTTCCATGTTTAGACTATCAAAGCCACTAACCCTGCCATCATTCAGCATACCAACTATGCCATGTCATTTTACTGCATTCCCATTTCAGAGCATGGCATTAGCTCTTATGGGTTCCATCACGGCTGGAACATCTCTTTCAACCCAGTCACCTTCCCCCCAACCCCTTCTATTTCTTTGGTTTGGTTTTGCTTAGATGGAGTAAGCTAAGAAACCTATGGCTTCCCTACTCCCAATTCAGACTGGGAACTATGCTCAAAGAGACTTTCTGGGGAGCACAAAGACCACAGTTTAACATGAGGTACCAAGGAGCAAAGCAGAATTTCTTTCCTGTAAGAAGAAATGAGCAGTCATACAAAGGCATGTCACTGGGTTAGGACTGTGATAAATGATTTCACCCTAGTAACAAGGAAAAGCTCTGTATCATTCTTCTACCCTTAAGAAAATGGCATCCATCACTTACATGCCATAAGTAACAACCTCCTGATTTTGGAAGCTTAAAGGGCCTAGAGGCTTATGATTAGATTGCTTACAACACTTGCGTTTCCAGACAGCAATGGTCAGTGAATAAAGACACACAAATCTTTGTATGAAACTCTTTATCCTATCCTTACTGTAAAGGATCACAGAAGTTGTTCTCAGCTCCTGTTAAAAAAACTCAAAGCATGCACACATTGACAGACATTTGCTTTCCTGGGTAACTTAAAATTAGTAAGTACAGAAAGGTGAGGAAGAAATAAAAACCCCACCCAAACAGAAAAACCCAAACAACTCCAAACCACTTAATTCACATGCAAAATTTCCCTAAGATTTCCAAGAAGTCTGTTACACTGTATACATCAAGAGTCTATACTACTACAGGAATGACCTGTTTCTGCTGCTGGGCCTTTTTTAGTGCCTCAAGCCTCCTTTGTTTAAGGCGTTCCAGTTCATCTTCATCCATCTGGTCCAGCTTCTGCATTTCAGCATCCAGATGTTCTTCCACAACCTTGGTAGTCTGAAGGATTTCATTCTCCAGAACTTTTTGAAGTATGTCAACAGAGGTATCAGCAGCCATCTTTAACTAGAAAGTGATCTCTTCAGAGCTGTAGGAATAGTGATATATGGAATTAACATGTATACAAACACTTAATTAAAAGCCTGATCTCTTTTACTTGCAGTTCACATTGCAGAGAAACAAAATGCTATGCTATTTGAAGATAACATTGTTCTTTTGTATAGCACAACTCCCCCTGGAAAACGCTTTCTCGTTGAACACAGACAGCAACAAAGATACCAGTCAAGCCCTATTCTCTCAGTCCCAAAAGCAGCTATTGGAAGCACAAAGTAACTGGAAATTACTTGTCAATATAAATAAGTAGAATTCATCAGTTCCAAAGAACTCTCAGGGCAAGCCAGATCCATGTACCTTTAATAAGTATTCTGAAACTAGAAGATATAATAGAAAAGCTCCAAGCTGATGAGAGGAGGTATAAGATGTCTCAGAGTAAATCAAAGCAATGCTCAGTCTGTAGGTAGCCATCAAAAGTTTAAAAGCAGTTAAGTACCTGATGCAGATTAACATATTTAAATCCAAATTAACACTCCTCAGCTAAAAGAAAGACAAGGTGCTCAACAGCAAATGTTTTAGGCCAGTACACTGCTTCAGGCCAGTACACTCCTTCAACTAGTACAACAAAACTGCTACTGCAAACACCAGCCTATGACAGCTAGCAAAAGGATTTAAAAACCCCCAACAACTACCTAACTGATGTGAGAAGAAACACAGCTAAAATCATTCCTCTGTAAAGGTCTTCCTGCCCAAACACTTCAAAACGCACAAGATACCAAGACTGGGTTTCATGAAGAGCTGGGACAATGTAATTGATTGTTCTCGCCAATAATCTTACACTACAAAAAAACATTACTGCCAGGAATGATAGTTTCAAAATGGGGGCAGTACACAGTCACCCTAATCAGATTCTCAACCTGCAGGCCACAAATTTGATGTGAATTTGGGTTCCAGATTACTCTTGGCTGTATTTCAAAACAGCCAAACTAATGGTGCCACTGGCTTTGTAAAACACCTTGCAAGCCGAGGCAAGAAAGCTTTTTAAATAGCGATGGGCAAAGTATCAACATTAACGCAGCACTCCAAACGCAAAACAACCTCAGCAGTGCTGACCCTGTTGACACACTCCACACGTGTCACTACCATGCTTGCTCTGACCTGCAGCACCTCATCTTGACTCCCTCTCACCGAAACTGCTAACTACCAACTCTCTCCATAAATGTTTTCTACCTCCTTTCTTGCCTTTACATAGGAAATAAGCAGCTTACTAGAGCACCTCAGAAGCCCCTAGGCATTCAGGGGAGAAAGGGAAACCTGCTCAGCTGAGGCAAAGGGAGGCTCCTCCTCCAAGCAAACAGGAAGGAAAACATAAAAACACCAGCCAATGCCTACCACAGCCTGAGGTCCCCAAAGGGCTCCCGGCTCCCCCAGCCCCGGAAGCCTGGATGCCAATAAGCATTTCCTACTCTGCAAGGGGGTGCGCCCGAGGCTGGCTCCCAAGGGGGCTCAGCAACTCTGATGGGGTCCTGCCCGCTCTGCTAGAGAGGGGCGCTGGAGGCCCAACTCACGGCCAGTAACGGGGCCGAGAGGCGCCGCCGAAGTGAGAAGGACCCGCAGTGCGTAGCCGTTACAAAGAACGGACCCACGAGCACACGCGCACACACCCACCCATCCAGCTTCTTACGAGCTATCCAGGGAAAGCCTCACCCTCTCCCAGCCCCGCTGCCCCCCACCACAAGCGGCCAGAGCCAAAGAACACAAACGCCACTCACGCCTCCTCTTTCCTTCTTCCTCCGCTGCCGCGCACACTACGCCCCCCACCCGCCTCACACCGGCCGCACCCCGCCGAAGTCTCGCGAGAGCGCACGCAGCGCTGGCCACCGCGTTCCTAGCCAGCCTAATGCGCATGCGCCGTTGTGGGTGGGTGGGAGTTGCACCAGCAGGCAGCAGCCGGGAGGGCGGGGTTTAGTGTGTTTGTCCCGCGGCAGGGGCGGGGCTCAGCCGCGGCCGCACCGCTTCCGCGCCGCGGTTCGAGCACGGCGGGAGTTACCGCTGCAGGGGCAGCTTTTTGTCTGGTCCCGTCCTACTCCTTTCCGTTAGCAATCGCGCTTCTCCCGGCGTTGCGCACCGGCCTATCTCCGCCTTCCCCTCCTGTGACCCGCCCGACGGAAGCGTCGGAACACGGGCCGAGCGATTCTGGGGCGGGACAGAACACACCCCGTCGCTGCGAAGCCCCGCCCGTTCCCTCACCTCGGTGTGAGGCTTTTGTAAACGGCGGTCGAACGGTGCTGTGGGGGGGACCTGGGGGGTACTGTCGCTGCGTTCGTGGGGCACTGCTCATGGATTTCTTCTCGGGGTTGGGGCGTGTGAGGCCGAGACCCCCGCAGGGAATCGGGGCGCGGCAGGGTCGTAACGGCCGGGAGCTGCGGGGTTAGGCCCCTCGAGTGATGCCGTGAGGTAAGGGCGCCTTGGTGAGGGCAGGTGGGGCTCGGGCGGGCGCTCCGGCACGCCCGATGAGAGCAGGAGGGTCGTGCTGGAGTGGCCGGGGCTTGTCTCTGCTGCTCTTGTTGCAAGTGCGCTGAAGATGCGCAGATTTAAATAACAGGATATTAAAGAGTGATTAAAAAAATCCCAAGTGTTCTGCTTGCTTGCTTCCTGGAAATCTGATTTACCAGTACTGAACTATGCTGATGGGGAAGGTGGGGCGGGAAGATAAACTTCTGGTCTTATCTGCAGTCTGCTGGGTGCCCGAGGTGGGAAGACTGATAAGGAGTACAGCTGTATGAAGGTGGAGAAAAGTAGGAGTTGAGGGCTTTAGGGAGAGAAACAATATGGAGGTGGTGATCCTGAGGCTAGAAGATGAAGAGAACAGTGAGGCTTGCTCTGTCTGCCAAGGAAATTACTGTAACGGGGCTATGACTTTGATTCATGCTTTGCCGAGAAAGGTTGGACCAGGTGATCGTTGAGGTCCCATCCGACCTGGTATTCTATGATTCTATGACAACGACAGAAAATGTGCTGCTCTCGAAGCATATTAAATACTGTGATATCCGAGATCCCCATTATCACTGTTATTCCTGCCCCATCTTTCTTTGCTCTTGAGAAACATTACCAAGAGGAGATGGGGTTGTAACTGAGAGCCTCCCCCTTCCATTATACTCAGTGCTGAATGTCTGACTTCCGTGCCACATGTCTGTGAGTCTACATCCTGTCTTCTGTCCCACAGGAACACTGTTCAGTCTCCCCTGCAAGAGAATGCAGCACTGTTTCAGCTCCTGTACTGTTTCTTGGAGGGGAGAGGGAGAAAAATCTCTGTACACTGAGAAAATGTGGTGAGGAGGGAAGGAAACACTTGGCTGATGTTGCTGCCCAGCAGCCCAGCTCCCTGTCAGTGTACCTCTCCTGTCAATGGAGCTGAGTTTGATCCTTTACACCGAAATACAACTGAGCCCTGCCTACTCCATGCCCCTGCTCTGGTGGGAGGCCAGGCACCACAGGGCAGATGGTACCATTTTGTCTTTCACACCTCACCTCCAGTGGTGGTAAGTGATGGGGATGATGGTCCAGCAAAGCTGTGAGCAGAGGAAAGATACTGAGGTGCATGGAGCAGTGCCCACACCTCAGCTACCGCCTGCTCGCTGTGTGCCTTGAAAGTTTTCCTCTTAACCACTCCATTCACCCAGTTGGACCGAAGTGTCCTGTTTGTCTCTGGATAAAAGCTTCCCAGATGTGTTTACTTTGGCTATCTGGTCGTTCTTTTTATGGCCAAGCAGGGAGCAAATGTGGCCCTTTGGGAAGGTGGGATGGAACCTGCAGATCTGGGGCATTGCTTAGACCTTTGCCAGGGCTGCCTGAAGAACAGAACTGGTGGAAGTAAAGCCGATGTTGCTGTGTCTGGTCAATGCAAACCCTGAGAGCAGCCATCAGGTGTTGGAAGAGGCTTCCCAGGGAAGTGGTGGAATCACTGTCCCTGAAAGTGTTCAAAACCCATGTAGATGAGGCCCTCAGTGACGTGGTTTAGTGGCGGTCTTGGCCGTCCTGGCGTGACGGTTGGACTTCATGATCTTAAAGGACTGTTCCAACCTAGTTGATGCTACGATTCTTCCCCTCGGTCGTCGGCCCTGCGGCGCCGCTTGTTCCCCCTCCGGCAGCCAGGGGGCGCCAGCGCGCGGAGGCGGTGCTCGGCCTCGGAGGCGGTGGCGGCCGCCGGTCGTCGCGGGGCAGGCCGGGACGGCGGTGGAGGTGAGGCGGGGCGGGCGCGTGCGCGGCGCTAGTCAGGGGCGGGCAGCGGCGGTGGAGGCGGTGGCTTTCCCCATATGCACGGGGCTGCGCGCAGGCGGGCGGGTAGTGTTGAGGTGTGGGTTAAGCGCCGGTGCTGCCGCTATGGGCAAAAAGCAGAAGAACAAGAGCGAGGACAGGTAGGGTGGATGACGGCTTCTCGCCTCGGTCCCTTTCCCTGGGCTGCTGGCATCGGTGGCGGTGAGCACCGGTGTCGCGGCGCTGAGTCAGGCCTGCAGGGGTTCGCGGCCTCGTCGGGGGTGGCGGGCAGGCGGGGCGCGCTAGGCCCTGCTCAGCCCGGCCCGTCCCGGTGGACGTTGGCTGGGTGGAAGGCCGGTCGTGTTTTTCACACGGTGGAGTGGTACTGGCTGTGCGGCCGGGCCCGACCGGTACCGGCGGCCTGAGGGTACGGCGGGCCGGGCCGCGCTGTGCGGGCGGGCGGATCGGTGTCCTGCGGCCGCGGTGGGAGAGACTTGTCGGTTGGCGCTGGAGCGGCTGTGTTGCTGCTGCTGCTGCCGCCGCCGCCTCGTTTGCGGTCTCTCTGCATGCTGCTTCCTTGGTCCTCGCCTGGGCTCTCGGGCGCTTGTCCGAAAGCAATGTCAGCTGACTGCTAGTTGTGAGAGCCGATCTCGGTTGTCAGCTAAAAACAGCTGTTCGGTGCAGTTGCAGCGCCTGAAAGTGTTTGGTTTTCATTTCGTTTTTTTAATAGGAGACAGTGCTATAGGTCACGCTGTAACTTGGTGACTTGTATATGTTTAATAAATGCAGATGTTGGATATTTTAGTGATTATAAGGAAAGCGGACCACTTCTGTGGTTATGTGCGTGTCACCTTGGGTACTGCCCCATCTGTGAACTTTGTGTGTAAGGGTTCTTACAATGGCAGCTGTATTAACCATATGGAACGCTGACTGAATGACATTGTGTATGTTTACAGTAGCAGGGAGAACATACTGTTATTTGTCACTGTGAGATAAAACCAGATATAGAACCAATTCGAAGAGTGGTTTTAGTTGTTAATACTGACAAGGAGTTAAATGAAAACTCATATCTTCAAATGTGTTTGAAGTGGAAATCACAACTTTTCCTTACCTATACTGCTCAGTTTGTGCCTCCTTTTTGAGTCACTGTTTCTCTTATGAAAGTACTTCCTATGATGGCTGTTTCACAAACAGGTTTTTTTTCTCTCTAAGCATTCTTTGCTACCTGTACGTGTATTGTAATAAGATGTTAGTGACTTAAAGTTGTTACACTTTACCTTGTTAGGGTGCAAACTCTTTTAGTTTTTCTGGTCCTCTCTTGGGTGCTGTGCATAAAACCTCATTTGTGCTGAAAAACGGAGGCATACCTTAAAAGAGAGGCCAAGAATTTATTGTTAGAATAATTGAAATCCTGAGAGCATAATGATTATTAATTCAGATCTAATTGTTAGGAAAAAAGCGAACAGTAATTCAGCTGAAATGGTTACATTCACCCTCACTGCTGCTCTGAGTTTTAGGATTTCACCCTGGTGATGGTAAGCTGCTACAGTGTGCTGTCAGCATCGTTGCCCTTCATGAGGAGCGATATGGTTGTTCATGTTGATGGCTTCATCTTCCTCACTCTGGGATCTACCTGAGATGTTTTTATATGCTTGCTAATGTGCCTTTGCTTTTCATTGGTTTGCAGCTTTGTGTCTCATCCAAATATGTAAAAGGCACTGTGTATTAGATAATGCTTCTTTCTTGTTTGTTACCCCTAAAAATGGTTTTGTCCAGGCCTGTGTTTCTCTTGGTCAATTGCTGGTGAGTTATGAGATGTCCAGTGCTCAGTCCTATACAAGCTGTCTCTTTATTCATGCCTGCATGCATCTCCTCTCAGCCCTGTGCCCCTACTTCTCAAGGCATCTGCTGCTGTATCAGGCCTCTATTTCTTTATACTACATCATTGTTGCAGAGCTGTTAATATCTCATTCTGTACAGTGCCTGCTTATTACTGCTCTCTATATGAGACTCTGGTTGCAGCCTGCCCAAGTAAACAAAAGTAGAAGCAATTAGGCATAGGCACCTGGTCAATTAGAGAAGTTGCTGTCACAGCTAAATCAAGAAACAGTTGCAGGCAGGTCAAGAAAAGTTCAGCCAAAGTAGCCCGACAAAGTAGCTGTAGTCCTAAGGCCTTGCAAGTGCAATGCAGAGCTTATTTACTGCTACGAGCAATGGCAACAGTGTCACAGGGCTGCATGACTGTATGGCAATGGGAGGGATGACATGAAAGAATATAAACACATACATGTTTGAGAAGTACAGCATGGTTAGACTGGGTGTATTTTATAGCAGAGTCTTTGAGGGGATGGGAGTGAGGACAGACCTGGAAAGCCAGTTCATTTTGGAATAGGCTCTGTCTGCAGAGGTGCTGTGATTATCTGGTGGTGTTAGTTCTAGCTGACATCACTGTGAATGTCAGGTTCCCTCGAGGGAGGGATAGGCTGCACCATATATTTGCATCTGTAGTTTGAGATTGGACTTTAGCATCCACCATCAGTCTTGCTTCAGTTTCCAGTAAAGCTAGAGGAATGGTACTGTGTAATCAAAGGCTTCTTGTCAGTTTTGCCTCTCGCATCTTCAGTTCTGTGACATGCAGTGTTGTTTCCTCTTCCTTTTCCTCTTTCTCCAGCAATTCTGTTACAATCCCTTATGTTCCTTTTGACTGCAGCTCCCAAAGCATGTGGCGGCTCATGGGCATAACTTACAGTGCAGATGCACTTGCATGTGGGAAGATGCACATGGTGTGTCTGTGTTGCGAGTATTGGTTTGAGAATGGATGTGACAGATTTCCTGCCTGTCCTCTAGCATACTGAGCCAAGTTATGGAAGGTACCATAGAATCATAGAATAGTTAGGGTTGGAAAGGACCTTAAGATCATCAAGTTCCAACCCCCCTGCCGTGGGCAGGGACACCTCACACTAAACCATCTCACCCAAAGCCTCATCCAGCCTGGCCTTGAACACTGCCAAGGATGGAGCATTCACAACCTCCCTGGGCAACCTATTCCAGTGCCTCACCACCCTAACAGGAAAGAATTTCCTCCTTATATACAATCTAAACTTCCCCTGTTTAAGTTTTAACCATGTCATCTTTACTCTGCTTTTCTCCCTTCACCCACATAGTTTATCTTCTGTTGTGTGGTTTACTCCTTCCTTGTTTCTGCTGAGTACAGAGGAGGTCATACTGGTGAGTGTTAATTTATGTCTTGGAAGTGTGCTGACAACTGAGGGTGAGAATGAATTTTGTCATCGGAACAAGGTGTAAGTACAAAGGGAGAAGACTCAGAGTGAGATGACAGTTGTGGTGAACAGGGAAAGAATGGCGATGCAGGATTATTGTTTGTTAGGAATACAGATTCCTGCCTGAACAGACACCTACAAACCTGTTTCTGCTATACCAGTGCTTTCATTACATTCCTCTTGAACCCTCTTATTCACTTGTGCTGCTTGTTTGCATCTGTCAATAAAGAACATATTTTTCTAGAATGGTCAGATACATGGTCACTGTAGGAAAAATCTCAGTGTGGTGTTTAGTCAGTGATGCACTTTGTAAAGTTGGAGAGTGCCTTGGGTCATAAATAGCTCCTAAGCCATGTGGAAGTTTTGCTTCCTCTTTAGAATTTTTATGGTTGTGTTAATCACTCATTTTTGAATGAAATGTCATAGCAAAATTTTTTATTTTTTTTTTTTAGAGGCATCTGAGTTTTCAGGCTTTCCTAATGGAAGAGTAGGTGTTCTAATGTGTAGTCTAGCTCCTCCCAGGAGTGATATGCTTTGGCTCTTGGATAGAGCTAAAATGGAAGAAGTTATGTCAAGGTTCTACCCTGCTGTCTTTGTGAATTTCGTATAGGATTATTATTATTTCTTTTTTAATGTGTGGGAAGAAAAGCTGTTGTAAACTACATAACTGTGCTTTGAATTCAAGCTTCTGCTGAATATTTCAAAGTTAAGTATGCTATATGGTTTAAATTATTTCTGGCGTAGAATATGGACCTTTTCCCCTTGATGGTGTTATCTTTTCATGTGTTTTTACT